ATGCACACTACCAACCCCTCTTTAAAAAAAATTAAATCAGATGAACTCCTTATTTATTCTTCAAGGACCATCTCTTGCACTTCTCTGACCAGGCAGCTGTCCCTGTCTACAGACTCTGCTGTCCCCCTGGATTCCCTGGGCCCTGGACCCCACTGACCACAAGGGGCTGAGCATATGTATTTATGAGGGACCAGGGGAACTTCTTACCCAGGAAAGTCTCAGTGAACTCCTTGGTAGCAAAGGTGGCCACCCGAGCCAGCTCTTCTTGGCTCATGTTCTGCAACTGCGGATGTCCTGGCTCCAGCCTCTGTAGCAGGACAAGGGCCTCCCATACCTTCTGGGCCAGGGTAGGAACTGAAGTCAAAGCAGCCCCATTCTGCCTTCGGAAGTTACTTCGGAACCTTGGATCTCCAGCCACCCCAGCTCCATAGTACTCTTTCAGCAGGTGGCTGAGGGGTGGCCTGGGCTTAGAGACCCGGCTCAAGTGGTCCCCAAGCAGAGCTCCATCCAAGGCACCATTGAGGAAAGCCATGGTGAGCCTGGATGCCTTGGGGTCCAACAGTGTGAAGACCCTGCGTGTAGAAAGCTGGTTCCAGCAACCCTCAGTTCCCAGGCCTGGAGGACTCTGAGTCTGGGAACTGTTGAGGAACATCAGACCCAAGTCTCTGGCCAAGGTGGCTGCCAGGAGTCTGTCCACAGTAGTGGGAGTCTTGGCTTTGTCATTTGGTAAAGTAGCTCCAACATCTGTAAAAGAGGCATTTGTGGAAGCATCCATGAGTCCTGGCCAGATGGCTCCAATGTTTGTCAAGGTGTCTCCAGCATCACAAGGCATGGCCAGGCACTCTGAAGGTAAGTTGGTAACATTGTGCTCCTGTAAGCCGGCCTCTAGCCCAATCAGTAGAGGCTTCACAGCTACAGTGGAGCCATCAGGTGCCAGCACCACTCCGTATTCCTGCCCATCTTGTACAACATGTTGGGCCACCTCGGAAATTAGGGCTTGAAGCTCTGGGCTCAGTGAGTGGGGATCTGGCTCCATAGTGTTGTGGCTTGGTGTCTTCCGAAGCAAGTGCTGGTGAAGAGAATTGTGGGGACTGGAGTTACTGGCTGACAGAATCCACGAGGAGGCAGTGCCACTAGCCTCAGTCACCAGCACCTTTTGCTCAAGCTCAGCAAGGGCCTGGATGATGGAGTCCATGACCAGGGGTAAGGAGGAGGCTGTAGGAGGAAGGAATACATCAGCCCAGCAACCCAGCTTCACTTGTTCCTGAACCTCCTGCTGTTCATGTCACATTTTCCTAATGTCCCTGCCCCTCCATCTGACACCACTGTGACCAGCACTACTGTTGAGTAAAGGAGGAAACTGAGACACCCAGACTATTGTCTGTTGGTTAAGGAGGTTGGACTCTCTATGAACACTGGGGAGCCATGCAAGATTATGAGCAGGAGAGAGACCTGGCCAGGTTGGCATTTGTGGTGGTTTAAACAGGAAAATCAGAGGGGGGGGGAGGAGGAGGGGAGTGAGAGGGAGCTGGGATTGACATGTGAAGCAAGCTTGTTTCTAATTTAAATACAAACTAAACATGAATATCCCCCATTGGCTCACATATTTGAATGCTTGGTCATTAGGGAGTGGTGCTACTTGAGAGGGATTAGGAGGTGTGGCCTTGTTGGAATAAGTGTGGCCCTGTTGGAGAAGTGTGTCACTAGGAGTAGGCTTTGGGGTTTCAGAAGCCTGCACCAGGCCCAGTGGCTTTCTCTCTTCTTCCTGCTGCCTGTGGATCCTAAAGTAGACCTCTCAGCTCCTCCAGCATGGTGTCTGCCTGTGTGCCACCGTGCTTTCCATCTTTCTAATAACGGACTAAACCTTTGAAACTGTAAGCCAGCTCTGATGAAATGCTTTCCTCTATAAGAGTTGCTGTGGTCATGGTATATATTCATAACAACAGACTAAAGCATCATTCTAAGATTGTTGTTGGGTTACTACATGGAAATGGATTTTCAAGGTGCTGGGATAATGAGGGGCAGACAGTAGAGAGGTAAGTGAGTTAGGTGGCTGGTGGTATAGTGTTGGCAATGAACAAAGCATGGAGAATTTCTACATATGTAGGGGTAAAGACAGATCATTTAAAAATTACTTTCGGGGTGTATGCTCAGAGGTTAAGAGCACTGACTGCCCTTCCAGAGAACCTGGGTTTAATTTCCAGCACCTACATGGCAGCTTACACCCGTCTGTAACTCCAGTTTCAGGGTTTCTGATACCCTCACACAGACATATATGTGTCTGAAACACCAATGCACATACACAAAATAAAAATAAGTTATTTAAAAATTATTAGTATTTTAGATTTATTTTATTATTTTTAATAGTGTGTATCAGGAGGTATGTGCGTGTGAATGCCAGAGGATTTGGATATACTGGACCTGGAGTTACTGGTGGCTGTGAATCATCCGATGTGGGTGCTGGGAACAGAACACAGGTCTTCTGTAACAATGGTGCACTGTCTTAACCACTGAGCAATCTCTCCAGCTCAGACAGACAATTTTTGGTGACAGATTAGAGTTGGACAGTTTTAGAAGGAAAAGTATGTTGAAGGACACCCGAGGGTTATGTATCAATTTTCTCTCATCTGAGGCCTCTTACTAAGACTCAGGAAGTAAATCAACTTAGAAGTCTCAGGAAACTCCTAAAACCTACAAAATTTAAGAGGCTCCTCTCCCAAGGTTATATAAAGACTAACAACTGTAAGGAAAAAGGGACTTTCCCACCAGCCACACTGCCTGAAAGTTCAGTGGGAAGCTATAGGAATGCAGCTTTTGTGAGCCGTCATTCATGCTGGGGATGGGCTTTTTGATGATGTAGCTGCATTTGAGTCACCCAGGTTCCTATAAGCAACCCCAATAAACTCAATGGTTTACTTATCTAGATTTAATTGGAATAACGGTTTTGGTCCACCATTCATACCCTACTGGTGGCATGAGATGTTTGTTATGGCTTCAAAAGTAGTCACATGACACCAAGGAAGCTGAGTATGATGGCTCATGGCTATAATCCCAGCACTCAAAAATGCTGAGGCAGGAGGACCATCACAAATTCAAGACTAGCTTGAACTACACAGTTCCAACCCATCCTGCCTGCCAAGTGAGACCTTGTCTCCAACAAACAGACACACAGACGGATGGACAGACAAACAGCCCAAGGGGAGGAGGAGGATGGATTTTTCCCTTTTCAAGAAAAGGAATCTAGATGTTAGATTACCAGGCCCACAGAGGACTTGGGGGCTGTTGAATAATTGCCAATTTAACATTTACCATGTGCCAGAGATCACTCCAAGTGACATATATAACTTATTCAATCCTCACGAAATACTGTAGGGAATGTCATTAGCTTCCTGTCACAGATGAAGTGTCTGAAATGGGGAGGACACGTTAGCTGCATCAAGGTTACACAGCTAGGAAGTGTAGGAGGTATAATTTAAATATAGGAAGGTAAGTTGTTTTGTTTGTTGCAGAGGCTTGCTATATAGTAAAGACTGGTCTCTAACTCATTACATATCCCAGGCTAACCTCAAACTTATGATCCTCCTGCCTTAGCCTCCCATGTTCTGTGGGTACAGACAAGTGTTTGTACACCCAGAGCCTCCAGGTCATTTTAATTGCTATATCCTAGTGATTGGAATCTGTGCTCTTCCTCAGGCAATCCATTCTATAACTTCGGTTTTTTTTTTTTTTTTTCCTGCTTAAATTATCCTGTCTTTTCTGCTTCTCAATCAAACCCAGCTCTATCTCTCTCCTCCCATCCTAGTTGTGTGAGTCCCTTCTCCAGGAAGCTACCCTTATTTTTTGCCCCCAGATCTCCTCTCTGGCACCCCTTCCTTGACTCTGCAGGGGCTGGAAACGTGTGGTGCCCTAATGACTGTTTGCTGAGACTTGGAGCCTTGCCCCGATGCAGTTCAGCAAAGAAAGTACCAGCCCTGCCCCCACCTCCCCGCAGGGCTCTGCCCTTGGACTCACCTGTCCCTGGCTCTGGCCACAGCAGCAATCGAAGCAGGACCCAGAGGACACCCCCGGCCTTCATCATTGTGGGGTCCAGTTCCAGTGCAGAGGCCCAGCAGAGAACCTCAGAGGTGCTGGGAGGAGAGGAGCATGAGAATTGACCTGCCTTATCAAAGTGCAGCGGGACAACACACTCATCCCAGTGGAGTGAGCCTGGGAGTAGAGTCAAGGTTATTTGGGTCTCAAAATCTCTTCCACCCTGTACTGTCCCCGCCCAGAGTGACATGATGGGTCAGAAAGACAGATCCATGCCCTGCCAAGAGAAGCCTGTAACTGGGAAGTTCAAACTCCAGAAATTTTGGGGCCTCCTTTAAAAAAGATAATTATTTTTTTTTCCAGTGCTGGACATTAAATCTAGGGCCTTATGCACGATAGGCAGGCCTATATCTTTGAACTGTATCCCCTGATCCCTTTTACATTTTATCTCCTTTTATTTAAAAGGCTTTTAGTGAGTTCAAGGCCAACCTGACCTACATAGTGAGTTTCAAGGCAGCCAGGGCTATGTAGAGAGACCCTGTCTCAAAAACAACAACAACAACAACAACAACAAAACACCCACTCCTATGTTTAAGCTAGATGGCAGTGGCACATGCCTTTAACCCCAGCAGAGACAGGTAGATCTCCGAGTTCAAGACCACCCTGGTCTACAGAAAATGTTCCAGGACAGCCAGGGCTACACAGAGAAACCTTGTCTCAAAAAAGAACCCGTATGTATGTATGTATGTATGTATGTATGTATGTATGTATGTATGTGTGTGTGTATGCATGCTTGCATATTTTAAATTTAAATTTGAATGTATTGTTATTGTGTGGGTAGAGTGTGAGTCTGTGAGATGAGTGTGGGTATCTACATACAAGCAGAGCTGAGAGGACAGCTTTTGGGAGTCAGTTTCTCCTTCCTCTTCAAGATCTAGAGAGAGAACTCAGGTTTGCACAAAAAATACCTTTACCCACCAAAACATCTTGTTTACATCTGTTTGTATGTATGTGGATTTTTTTTTTTTGTTTGGTTTTTTTTTTTTTTTTTTTTTTTTTTTTTTTTTTTCGAGACAGGGTTTCTCTGTGGCCCTGGAACTAGCTGGGTTCAAAGGTGTGCACAGCCTGGCTGGCTATGGGTTTTTGAATGAGAGAACAAGGCTTATGAAAGACAAAAGAGGGCATTGAATCCCTTGGAGCTGGGGTTGCAAGATGTTGTGAGCTGTTTGATGTGGGTACTGGGATCTGGAATCTGGATTCAGGTCCCCTGTAAACAAGTCAGTGCTCTTAACTTCTGAGCCATCTCTCCAGCCCCAATTCCCGCCCCCCCCCACTTTTTTCCCCCCTTGAGACAGAATCCCAGTAGCTCAGCTGGTTTTGAGCTCCTATTCCTCCCATTTCCACTGCCCCACATTATTGGGATTAAAGGTGTGTGCCATCACACTAGTATCTTTTTATATCTTATTTTGAGACAGGGTGTTGCTATGTAGCCTTGGCTTGCCTCAAACTCAGGGTCCTCCTATCTGAGACTCCTGAGTGTTGGGATTATAGGCGTGTACTGCTACACCCAGTTTAAATTCTGCACATTCTTGGGAGTGATGCTTTGACGTCAATCTTAGTATGTATGCTCTGCCCTGTTCAAAAGTGACAGCTCTGTAGTTGCCACTAGAAGAACCTCTCGACTGCCTGGTAAGACAGACTGTGCTGGGCAAGGTGGAGGCTTGTTTCTGTTATCTGATGTTTTCCCTTTCATTTCTTGTTCCTTTCTTCTTTCTTTTCTTTCTCTCTTTTATCATTTTCTTCCTTCCCTCTCCCTCCCTCCCTCCCTCCCTCCAGACAGGGTCTTACTATGTAGCCCAGGCTGTTCCAGAACTTGCTATGTAGGGCTGGCTGCCCTCAAACACAAGCACCTGCCTGTTCCTGCCTCCTGGGTGCTAGGATTAGAGGCATGTACCATCACACGCAGAGACATGAACAGTTTTTAAGGAAGAAAGATAACCTTTGGCTTGCAGATTCTGTAGTTGTAATCCTTGGTTGGTCAGCCTGACTCCTGTGCACCTGTAGGAGAGAGGAATGTATGGTGAGGAAGCTGCTTACCTTATAGAAGCTGAGATGCAAGAACGGAGAGAGAGGAAGGGGCGGAGTCCCTCTCAGTGACTTCCTCCCACTAGCCCACTTGTCTTAAGGCACCACATTCTGGGCACCCAGCCTTGAACATGTGGGCCTTGTGGGAACTTTTCACATCCACATTCTAGCAAGCAGAGAGAGGAAGCCTGTGGTTAGTGCCACCCCTACCTCCTGCACTGCATCTAACACTCACACAGGATGCTGGGGAGCTTCGGGTCTTCCTCTTCTTCCTCCTCTGCTTTTAATCTCCATCCCGGCCCCACCCTCACCCCAGTGCAACTACACAAGTGCCATGGTGCCTGTGTGGCTGAGGACGGTGGAAATGGATTCTCTCCTTCTGCTATATGGGTCCCAGTGATGAAATTCAGGTCATCATGCTTGGGGACAAGTGCCTTTACCCCTTGAACCATCTCACTGGCCCTGCTCTTTAAAAATCTAAGGGTGTGTAAGTCCATGGGCACGTGTGTGTGTGTGTGTGTGTGTGTGTGTGTGTGTGTGTGTGTGTGTGTGTGAGTGTGTGTGTGTGTGTGTGTGTGGTGCAAGCACATGAGTGCACACCCCATGTGTGCACGTTGCCAGGTGAGAGGAAAATATGATATTTTCCTCTATCTCTGTCTGCATTATTGCCTTGAGACAGGGTCCCTCCCTGAACCAGAAGGTCATTATAAGTGTTTGACTGGCTGCAAGCTCCCAGGACCCGCTGTCTATCCCTGCTTCCAAATGCTGCTGGGTTTACTGGCTTTTTAATATGGTGGAAGGGGGTTCTAACTCAGCCCCTCAAGCTCGAACAGCAAATGCGCTCTGACCCACGGAGCCATTTTCCCAGTCTCCTGTGTTCTGTTTCTCAAGAAAGGGTCTGACTTTGAATATAAAGCAATCCTCCTGCTTTTGATAGAATTATAGTTATGAGCCACATGCCTGGCTCTTGAAGGTTGCCTCCTCCCAGCCCAGTTCCAGATCTTGATTAAGCAAAAAGCAGGGCTCTGGTTTCATCCTAGGAACCCACCTGGCTTGGTAGTGTGGGAATATGTCCTCTCCTCTGGGTGCTGACGTCTGAGGCCTGCTGAATAGTGCTGTCTCTCTTCACTTCCCTTCCAGGCTGTCCTTGAACCTCTTACATAGCCTAGGTTGGCCTGGATCTTTTTTTAACCTCCTGCTTCCTCTTAAATGTTGGAATCCTAGGCCAGATCCAGCTCCCCTTTATTCTGGCATCAGGTGGGGGCGGGTTCCTCAAGGATGGGCTGTATGGAAATTGCTTCCCTCTTGGCCTCCCACCCTCAAACTAGCTTTACAACTAAGAGACCCACTGGGCTAAGGACTCATCCTGAGGCAGGTCCCAGATCAGGCTGGGGAAGTCCAAACTGAGCCAGACCTGGAATTCCCCAGGGAGTCACCCCAGGGCCTGGTCACCTACCCAGTATTTCTTATTCATGTTTGTCTCTCTTGCACCCTCCCCCACTGTCTCCAGGGTCTCATGTAGCCCAGGCTATGTCACTCCCTATGTAGCCAATGATGACCTTGAATTTATCATCTTCTGCCTTCAGCATCCAAACGCTAGGATTACAGGCATGACCCACCACAGCTAGTTTATGTGGTGCTGGGGATCAAACCTAGGGCCTATTCCTTCATGCTAGGCAATCTCTCTACCAACTGACCTGCATCTTCAGGACCAGTTTATTCTCTCTCTGGTGACCAATGTTCACCGAAGACAAAGCTGGGCATACAGAAGCAGATCAGAAAGCAGATCCACCGAGGTGTGGAATTGAATGAGCTCTGCTTCTCAGGGCAGTTTGAAGCAATATTCTCCTATTAGCCCAGGTTTTCAAAGATTTAGAAGTGGAAGGCTCTGTCTGCTGAAGTAAGTGAGTGGAGCCAGAGAGACGGATCAGCAGGTTAAGACACTTGCTGTCACCAAACCTGAGGGCCTGAGTTCAATCCCTGGGAGCCACACAGTGGAAGGAGAGAACAGCCTCCTGAAGGCTGTCCTCTGACCTCCACCTGAGTCATACCATGTGTCTATACCTCCACAAAATAAATGTACCTATAGATAAATAAATGTAACTTCAAAACAAAGTATGTAGGCTTCTTCCAGGGCAGACACTAGGGTAAAGCTTTTGCTTAGGTAACTCTGATAACACCAGTTACCAAGATAAATTGATTTATTTTTTATTTTACTACTATTATTATTATTATTTGAAACGGGGTTTTTCTGTTTATCCTTGGCTGTCCTGGAACTTGCTCTGTAGACCAGGCTGGTCTCAAGCCTCTGCTTCTCAAGTGCTGGGATTAAAAGCATACACCAGCACCACCTAGCTGATAAGTCTATCTTAAAAGTTTATTTATTATTTATTTAATAGATAGATTCTCAAGCATGCTGGGCTAATGCTGTACTCCTGAGCTACATCACTGCTCCCTCACCCTCTTTTGAAACATGGCCTCACTATGTAGCCAAATTGGCTTGAATTTATAATCCTGCTTCAGGCTCCTGAAGTCTGGGATGACAGGACTCTCAATCCACTTTAATTTTTAAAAAATTTGATGTGACATCTCACTATGTGGCCCAGGCTGGCTCCAAACTAGTGATCTTCCTGCCTCAGTTTCCCCCCAAAATTTTAGGCTCATGGTAAAGCTGAGCACAAAGTATAGAGTTCCTGTAAGTGCCCCCATAAACTCTGCCCTTCCACACATGCATAGTCTCCTGTCATCAACACCCTACATAAGCGTGATACAGCAGTGACAATCAATGAGTTTATATTGACACACCAGGCACTCAAAAGCCACAGTCTACATTAGAGTATCTCGGACTCACATCAGCGCTATTTGCTGTGCTGTGGGTAGAACCCAGGGTCTCATATCCATGGGCTAAACCCCAATCCTTTTCATATAGAGACAGAATCTCACTATGATTTCTTAAAACTATTTTCATTTGCATGTGTATTAATGCATACTGGTGTACACATGCACCCCTGTGTGCTTGTGTGTTGGTCAAAGGTCAGCATGCCCTTTCTCTTTCCCTCCCTTCTGACCCTTCCTGGTTTATTTCTTTCCTTTTTTTTTTGTTTTTTGTTTTTGTTTTTGTTTTTGTTTTTGTTTCTTGAGACAGGGCCTCACTACATAGTCCTGCAACTATAGACCACTTTGGCCTCAAACTCACAGAGATCTGATGACTCTGCCCACCAAGTGCTAGATTAAAGGTGTGCCCCGTTGCTCCTGGTTCTTCCTGGTTTCCTGAGGTCTTATCACAGAGCACTGACTGGCCTGGTACTCAACACACAGCCCATACTGGTTTGCTCATGGCAACCTTCCTTCATAAACCTTTCGAGTGCTAGGATTCCTGGCGCTCACCACAATGCTTAGGTTTGTCCTCTCTTCCTTCCACCTTCTCTCCTTTTCTCCCTGTCTCTCTTGCAATAAGTACTGGGAATTGAACTCAGTGTCTTGCACATGCTAAGCAACTGATATACCACTGAGCAATGTTCTCACCCTTTAAAATGAAAACAATTTTTAGTTAGGTGTAGTGGCACAAGTTTAATGCTAGCACTCAAAAGGCAGAGCATATGGCTCTCCGAGAGTTCAAGGCCAGCCTAATCTACATAGTAAGTTCCAAGACAGCCAGGACCAAATAGTGAGAACTTCTCTCAAAGAAATTGGGTCTATGTGTGTGCATGTGTATGTGCATCTTGTATGTATATGTTCATATGGATGTGGGCATATGTGTGCTCCTGCATGTAGAGAGGCCAGAGGTTGACATAAATTATTCCTCAATTGCTCTCACGTTACTTTTTGAGATAGGGTTTCTCAGTGAATTTACAACTTGTAGATTCAGCCATACTGGCTAGCCAATGAGCTCCAGACATATGCCTGTTTCTGCTCCCCTAGTTTTGGAACTACAGACAGGAGTCCTCATGTCTAGCTTTTAGAGTGATGCTAAGGGCCTTATGATTTTTGTGGTAAATACTTTACTGATTAACCATCTCCCCAGCATGCTCTCTCTCTCTCTCTCTCTCTCTCTCTCTCTCTCTCTCTCTCTCATTTTGAGTTAGTAATTCAGGCAGGTCTTGAACTCCCAGTAGCTGGAGTTATTAAGCGCACCATTAGATCCGGCTTCTTGCTTTGTTTGTCTCTGCATACCTCAAGTAGCACTGCTGCAGGCTTGCCCTCTCTCTTTTTTCTTTTCTTTAATCTTTTTATGTATGCTATTTATTTAGCCATGGTGTGTGTGTGTGTGTGTGTGTGTGTGTGTGTGTGTGTGTGTGTGTGTGTGTGTGTGTGTAGACTAGAGGACATCTTGTGGGAGTCATTTCTTTCCTTCCACTACCTGAACCCTGGGTAGTCAGGCTTGCTGTCAAGCACCTTTATCTACTGAGCCATTTTGCTCTTCCTAGGCCTATACTTATCTCTGATCAGCTCTGTTGCCCTAAGACAAGGAGATGCCTAGTTCTGGAGTGCCTAGGGACCAAGTAGGAATCAGGGATTGTTTGTTGAGTATGTGAAAACTTAAGTAAGAAAGGCTTCAGGGTCAGGCTAGGTTGGGTTCTGAAACACACGACACACATCAGCTACCCACTCACCAACGTACCTGGGCTGGGCCGGGCCTGGGTGGCAGCAGAAAATCTGGAGATTCCATGATGAATCATCCCATCCGGCAAGCTGCCCTCTTAATTCATGAGAGAGACCATAAGGAGAAACCAGCACCTCCAGACTGTTAGTAAGACAGGGTTTTAGGAGAACAAACCCTGACCAGAGCCTGGAGCACTAGCAAAGATAGGCAGAGCCTTGGGGCCCTCAGAAAGACCAGAGTCAGAGAAGGAGCTTGAAGCAGGGCTAGACTTGGGGTCGCAGTCATAAGTAAAATCATTCATTGTGGGGCTTGTGAGGTGGTGCCTACTGCCAATCCTGTTAGATCTCCAGGATCCAGGGATAAGAAGGAGAGAACTGCATGTACACCACAGAACATCTGCAGACACACACACACACACACACACACACACACACACACACACCACATCACACCACACACACACACACCATGCACACACACACACACACACACACACACACACACACACACACCATGCACACACGCACTCATGCATGCACATTATTTTTATAAAACTATAAAACTAATGGGATAGCATCTTTGTATAAAATTCTGTACACTTAATTTCAAAATGCAGAGAACATAACTAGTACACACACATCACACACACTATACACACCACATCACACACATCACACACACATCACACACACACCATACACACACCATACACACATCATACACACACACACTCTCTCCTTCTTCCTCTCTCCCTCTCTCTCAGAAAAAGAAGGAGAAGGCTAGGATGTAGCTCAGTGGTAGACTGTTTGCTTACCTTATGCAAGGCCCTGGGGTGTCTGGCTTACATGTGTGTTTGTGCATTGAGTGCAGTTGGAGGCCAGAAGAGGGTGTCAGATCCCGTGGGATTGAGATACAGTTGAGAGCCACTATGTGGGTGCTGGGTAATGAATCTGGGTCCTCTGAAAAAGCAGCTAGTGCTCTTAACCACTGGACCAACTCTTTAGCCTTTGGGTTGAGACTTTAGGAGCTCTTTTTTCAGTGCTAGGTATGGAGTCTTGGACTTCCAGCATGGTAGCTCAGAGCTCCATCAGTGAGTCAAGCCCCAGTCCCAAACTGGGGCTCCAGGCAAGGGCTCTTCTCAAGCCACACTCCCAGCCTTTGTATCTACATTTTAAATTCAGCTCTACATATATCATATATCATATATCACTGACTGGAGTTAGCTTATGGGTTGATTGTTTTTGTAAACATTTTTCTTTTGGTGGTGGCACATGCCTTAAATCCCAGCACTCAGGAGGCAGTGGCAGGTAGGATCTCTGTGAGTTCGAGGCCAGTCTGGTCTGCAGAGTGAGTTCCAGGACAGCCAGGACTACACAGTGAAACCTTGTCTCAAAAAACCTAAAAAAAAAAAAAAAAAATGTTTCTTTTAACCTAATATACAATTACATTGTTTAAACAGTTTTTAAATAGGTCAGCTAATTTTATTTGAGTTTTGTTGCTGGGAATGGAATCTTCATGTGTGTTAAACATTTACTCTTCCCTTAGATTATATACCAGCTTCAAAATTTTTAATAGACATAAAAAATAAACTTTTTTTGGGGGGGTGTCTGAGTCACTGTTCTATTGCTGTGAAGACACGCTAAGACCATGGGAACTCTGATGAACGAAAGCATTTAATTGGGGACTTGCTTATCATCATGGCAGAGAACACGGCAGAGGTATGGCAGGCGCAGGGCTGGAGAAGTAGTTGAGGGCTACAGAG